GCACTCCCAAGATTCAATCACGGGTATTTATGGTAAAAGTCACGGATAGGTCACGGGCCATGATTTTTTGGTTTTTGCTTGTGACTTTTACTAAAAATACCCATGATTAAATCTTAGCTGAAGTTGTTATTTTTTTCACTCTCCATCATGTATGAAACTTCTCTCAGAGAAAGCAACCCATCCTTCTTTCTCTTCAAATTTTGTATCCTTTTCCACTTAGCAAACATTGATTTTTCTTTTATTCCCCCCTCCAATGAAAGCTTGAAATGAACACTTGATTTTGTTTTGTTTCCTTGGGCTTGTCTAGGCTGTGCTGCAGTGCAGATTACGGGGGTCTGGTTTGCAGCACCCGTCAAAGGGTTTCATTCTGACCTGCGCTGTGTGGATGCTGCGTCCACACATTGCAGTTACAACGCAGCTCTTTGGTGTGCTCTGCCGTTCACACCCTTCGAATCCACACGACGGCTCAGTGTAGACATGACCCTACTTTAATATCATTCATGGTGTTACCTCTACTTGGGAGTTGGACTGTTAGATCACTTCTGTTTCAAAGCCAGCTTCAGGAACGTAAAATATTATTTATAGCTAAGTCCTACAAAAACAGAAGCCATTTACAAAAGTTTTTAAACAGCAAGTCAGTTTAAAACGACGTTATTTAAATTTTGTGAGCTGTTTGCAACTTCATTATGCTGGCGCACTGGTTGCAACGGCATAGTTAATTTGGAGTGGAAATTTCAGTTTGATAGAAGTTTAAAGACATTTTATTATTGTTGTAAAAATCTTATAAAAATGATAAACCCTCTGCCGAAAACCCTAACCATAGAGTGTAAACTTTGAGTAGGATTCAGTTTTTTCATGATGAAAAATAGGTTGATAAAATGAGAACAAAGCGTTCCGAAATCACCCCTTTTTGAAATTTTTACTGGAAAGTCTTGGGTTTTTTTGGCCTCTTTTGCAAGACATTTGAAATGCTCTATTCCGCGCTCTATGCCGCATGTTGCTCCTCATCTGCAGATTAATACAATAGCAGCTTGGCACGTTCCCCTTTATAACTGGGGGGGAGGGAAATGCACCCAGATGAGCCCACTGCATTAACAGTGACGCCATAAAACATCAGCTGGTGAGAAACGTAGGTTTTCTCTGATTCTCACACAGCTCTGGAAAGCTGCAGTCTAACACAAATCAAGCAGGTTTTTTTAGGCAGATTCACTTCCCAAGTGACTGGACCAGTCCGTGACGGCAGGGCAGGCTGGCCCGTAGATACACCGGAGTCTGAAGTTGCCAGTAGAGAGTCAGTTCAGTGCAGACGCAGGAAATCGTGCTTGCGAGTATCTGTTGGAGGTGGAAGTGAGAGCCTTGTGGAGGGTTGTCGTGTTGTTGACCGTGTTGTAACCAATGGAAAAGTGGCAGGGAGTGCAGAAGACTTGTCCCAGAGTTAATTTCCCTGCTTTCAAGGTTTTGGGTGGGTAGGCTGTATTGTAATGCAACCTTAGCGATGACGAAACAAAGGTTTTGTTAGATCCGAGAGTTCTATGGGTGGTCATGTTTCAAGCCGCAACTATTTGAAAGTGTCACTTATGTTAAGAGAGTGGTGCGTCTGCAGGGTCGGTATTCCTTGGTTCTCTTCCGAGCTCAGCCGCTGACTTTAGGGACGTCTGTTACAGGGTGCGATTGCGGCTCATGTACCTGTCTCGAAGTTTTGTTACAGGATGTTAGGCTGTGCGTGTCTGCCAGGAATCCTGGATAATGACTCAGGCAGTAGTCTGTGCTCAAACCCATACTGCTGCGATACCCAGGCTAGCTCTGGTGTACGTCTACACAAGCTGCGATCGCACCCCGTAACTGCGGTATAGATTTACTTCTTTGTGTGTGTGGTCTTGAGCAACTCACTTTCCCTCCAGTATTTTCCCCAAGGGTCAAATGATCAAAACCATTTAGGGTGGGCTTAGGCGCGCCGTTCCCATTGAATCGAGCCCCTCCATCCTGCGGCCCCTTTGAAAATCACTGAAGCGTAGCGAAAAATGTACAACGTAGCCCCACCAACAAGGCATAAAAAGACCAAACCTCAAACATGACATGAACAATAAGGAAAAGAGAAGAAAAACTAACCCCGCGTATCATGAGTCGTTTGCTTTGCTTCCCAGAGTGCTTTCCATCAGGAGGACCGAACTCGTGAGTCACATGGTGTGAGACCTTCCCCAAAGTACTGTGTGTGCACCAATATTTTTTTTAAACAAGGCCCCAGATGTGCATAAAAGTGATGAACACCATTTTATTTCCCCGCATAGCTATATTTTTTTCAGACTTGAACGAATTGGCTAAAGAAGACATAGACCTGGGCTGTGCTTACAGTGGTGGAGAGCTAGTTTAAAATCCATTGTTATGAGGCAACCTAGCATCCTTTTAACAGGCCAATTGAGTTTTGGGGGCCAGTTCGTGAACTCAGAGCAATCGGTGCAAGCTCAGGTTTTAATGACACTTTAATTTCCCTGTTAAAGAAATTCCTTTTTGCCAGGATCTTTGTATCTTTACTAATACCTAAAACTCACCTGCTGACATCCCGTGAAGCTTAATTATTGTTTTTCACGCACTTGGAGATCCTTCCATGCAAGTCGGTGGGAAAAATGCACCTCCTCGTTATCCTGTTAGGCGGCAGAGGCTAAGGAATAAACAGCCGTCACCCCAAGACGTGAGCGCCCTGAAAAGCAGTGTGATATGTTATGCCAGAGCAGTCCAGCTGTTGTTACTTTGTGTGTTACAGTATGCCCCGGAGGACATGCTCAGAGCAAGGCCCTATTGTGTTAGGTGCTGTACAACGCAGCAGGGGAATTGACCGGCCCTGGTAATTGTTGTCCAGGCTGGTATCGCAGCAGAGGCTGCTCACGTTCACATCAGGGCCTAATCCTTTCTCACTGGCTTTATTCTCTTTGTCTTCCAGATTCCAAGGTGTTTCTGATTTACAACAGCAGGCTGCAGGGCTGCTTGGAGACCAAGGACACCCTGGTGAAGGTCTCTAAACCCTGCAACGTCAGCGCCCCAGCCCAGCAGTGGAAATGGGTCTCCCGGAACCGACTCTTCAACCTTGGGACCATGCAGTGCCTCGGGGTCTCCTGGCAGGGCATCAACTCCACCGCAGCGGTGCAGTCCCTGGCCACCTATGAGTGCGACCGTGAGTCCGTCAACATGAGGTGGAGCTGCCGGAGCTTAGGGGAGCATCTCTCTCAGTATCTGAACGCCAAGGCAGGGAACCTCTCCCTGGCTCCTGTCGAGAGAGGAGATCAGGCACGCGGCGGGCAGTGGAGCGTCTACACCACCCATGAAGATTTGTGCTCCAGCCCCTACTCTGGTAACGCCTGGGGAGGGCTCTGTGGGTCTACATTGTCCCCATGATCTCTGGTTGTTTCCCTATTGTTCTGTGGTCATAGTAGAGCCCAGAGGCTCCTACTGAGATCAGGGTGCTGTTCAGGTAGGTGCTGTAGAGGTCTCAGTCAGCAAGAATTCAGCCATGTGCCCATTATTACTGTTTGAAATGAGGTCTTCAGTCTTATCATCATCATTATTTATTTTATTTATTTGTTTGTTAACCGAAGTTGAAGGAAACAGCCCTTGCCCCAAACAGCTAACAGCACAAGGCCCCGATCCTGCATTGATATCTGCTAGGGCCTGATCCAGTTCCCATTGAAGTCAGTGGAGAGACTCTCATTGGCTTCCTAGATTTTTAGGGCCAAAAGGGAGGATTATGATTTATTAGGGGGATTATTCATTTGTATTGTGGTAGCCCTAGGAGCCCAGTCATGGAGTAGGACCCCATTGTGCCAGGCGCTGTATATCCTGCATCGAGTCTGTCTTGTAGCCAGCACAAATGGGAATTGGATTGGGCTCTTAGCTCGCACCCCTTGTGCGATTCTATCGGCTTGAATCGACTCCACAAGGGTCTGTCCCATTACAGGATAGGGGCCAAGGAGCCCGGCTGCCTGGGAAATCCCCAGGGGGAAGAATGTATAAGGGTTTCCAAAATCATTTTTCTTTCCTCCCATAAATATAGTAAACGTTTATACTAATGGGCATGATTGGCTCCCAGGGAGCTGTGCACGATACGAATGAACAGTCTGTACCAAGGCTGCAGGGGCGTTGAAATACAAGTAGCTGAATGGTCCATAGAACTTTGCAACTTTTCTTCCTAGGATCTCAAAGCACCGGCAAACAGGACGATGACGATGTTATTTAACGCACCGTCCTGCTGAGACCCTTGGAAACAAATCGAAGCCTGCAGTGAAAACCTGATTAAGCCCCAGCTTCTAAGGCTATGTCTACACTAGCGACCTTACAGCTGTACCACTGGAAGGTCTCCCGGTGTAACTTACGTTGGTCGGGGGGTGTTTTTTCACACCCCTGGCTGACAAAAGTTTTACCGACAAAAGTGCTAGTGTGGACACAGTCGAAGAGTCCGATTCTCCGCTGCCCTTCGTCTTGGGTCATTCCTTATGCCAGTGGGGAGTGGGTGTGAATCAGCAACCGCTTTGCACCAGGCGCAGAGCAATGGAGAGTCGGGCCGCAGGGGTTCCGAAAGCTCAAACAAACAAAGCAGGTGGGGTTGGTAGGGGGAGAATAATAAATCTAGGGCTGGCAGAGTCCGTTCTGTAGAGCTTCAGTGGGGAGAAGGGGCCGAGACCGAGTTCAGTGCTGCACCCAGTGGTCCCACTGTCCAAAGGCACGATGGTGGGCTTGGGGACTGCAATTTCCCTCGGCAGCCCTCTGTCCCCCAGGAAGGGAGGCCGAGCTAGGGGGAGGATTCTCTCACTTTTTCTCTCTGCAGAAATTTACACCATCCAAGGCAATTCCCACGGGAAGCCCTGCACCATCCCCTTCAAGTACGACAACCAATGGTTCCACGACTGCACCAGCACGGGCCGGGAGGATGGGCATCTGTGGTGCGCCACCACGCAGGATTATGGCAAAGATGAACGATGGGGCTTCTGTCCCATTAAGAGTGAGTGGCGATTGGCCCGTCCAGGACCTTAGCAACAAGAGGCAGGGGGTGGGGGGCTACGATCATCAATAACTGGCCTGGTACCAGGTGGGGGTGGCTCTTTGGGTGATGCCAGCCTGGCATTGCAGAGGGAAGGGTTGTGTCAGGGATGCCAGCCTGGCACTGGTGAGGGGGTGGGGGATACAGCTGTGTGGTGGATGCCAGCCTGGCACGGGTGAGGGGGTGGGGGATACAGCTTTGTGGGGGATGCCAGCCTGGCACTGGTGAGG